ACCGGAAGCAAGCAAGCAATTTTAGCGGTGGATATTCCAATTTTAAACTACCGCGACGCGCATGTATACCAAATCTACCTGACCCTGCAACTGCATTGCTTAGCGTTGCAAGTACACTTCAAGCAGCCCCATTAGACCTTCCGGACGGAAGCTGCGAACCTCGTATCTATCATCCGCTTGTTTCAACAAAGCCTCAAATTCATCCCGAGTGCGCACCTTGCCACCAAAGCTCACCAACATGATGAGGTCAATCTGACGCAGGCCACGCTCAAAGTCGCGTGTTACCGAACCCTGGGCCGGGAGAATCAGGTCATTGATGAGCAGTGGAGTGTTGGGCTCGCAGCGTTCGAGTCCAGGGACTAGAGAGCGCAACATGGTGACAACGTCCTGGTCGCACCAGTTGAGCGCGCACGCCCGCAAGATGTAAGCAGCTGCGTTGCCCACCGGCTGCGGCTCGAAGAAGCTATGCTGCATGAAAGAAACCCGCTTCTTGGTCTCATCAGTGAGCAAAGACTGACCCGCTAGGTGCATGTCGGCGAAGTCTTGCACCACAAAATTGAGAGCTGGAAAATGCTCAGCAAGGGTGACGGAGACTTTGCCGCTACCACCACCCACGTCCACTACAGTGCCCTTGAGGTTGCCCCAGGGAAAGGCTTCCTTAAGGACGTTGATGTTCAGATTCACTGGACACACATCAGCGTCAGACTCTGAGATTGATCAAGAGCAAAGATGACCTACGCTTAGCCCACCCAGCCATGGCTTTAGCAAAGCGAATGGAACGTTGGGTATCCTTCTCGTAGAACTCGAAGATGGGCAGGCCGTGTCGAGTGGTAAACGGCGTGAGTGCACTGTTGTACTCAAGCGGCGATGCTTTCACATTATCAGCTGTAGAAGATGCAGCCTTGAGCATCTCATCGACCCTGTATTGAAGAGGGTCAGTGTGCGGACGAATATACCACAGCTGCGATTTCCGACATACGTGTAATGCACCGTCGAACGAATCTCTTCGTCATGGTGTAGAAGATATGAGCTGGGGCTGTGGGCGACATAGCCATGGGCGGGTTCTCGGAAGATGGACTCGGTGATCAGGAGGCGGACGATGCGGCTGGTCCTGTCCAGGTCAACACCTGCGTGTTTCGCCAAGTCTTCCAGCGAGATATTGCCATGCGCGGGAACTATGCTGAAGAAGTTGAAGTCCAGTGCCACTTGGATGGCTGCGAGCTCGTAGCCCTGGCAGCAAAGTGCGCGGAAGTGTCGTTTGGGCCCCTCGACAAGATATTGGAGGTCTTCCAGGGAACGCTTCAAGTTACCATGAAGCTCAGCGTACTCAATCGTTTCTGGGCGGTCGATGCAGTCTGATGCAAACGTAGGCGATGCATGTTTGTTTGCTACCAAATAGTCGGCGATTGCCTGCGTATGCTGAGTAACCTGTTGAGCAAGGGCGAGCAAGTCAACCGTTTCGGAGTTAGGAGCGGATTTAACGCCGACATCGTTTGCTTGTGTTGACATGATGGCGCTGCGCGTGTCGTGTTGATCAAAATGAATTACTGTCCCTCATGCTTTGAGAACGCATTCTCAAATTATACAAGTCGCCAGTCATCATTTCGGCCATCATGCTCTTGCTTGAGGTTGTGCAGCTGCCGCATCATGTCGGGCCCGGTTTGTTGTCAGACATCGGGCGCGTAATGTTTGTCGCTTGTCCGGGCCAGTCAGCCGATCGCTGCTGGTCGTCGGGTGGGAGTCGTGGGAGTGAAAGGGGGAAATTGGTAATCCCGCTGCTTACCTACATGACCGACGTTTTCGGCCGACATTTTACGGTCCTTGGCACTTTCTCATGTTGTGCATTACCAACCCCGACGCTGCTTGCTCTATTTGGGGGACAAAACATCTGAAAGAAACATGTAGTTACAGTACTCTAGCCGGCAAAATCACACTCGACCTACATCTCTGTTCCTATCTCTTTCTCATGGATTCCAACACCTCTTCGACACCAGTCGCGCGTTCAATCAACGACGAGAAGCCAGCGGAGCCGACCCTTGGCACTCTCGGCGATGCAGCGGAACCGGAGAAGCCTCCGCGCGACATCTCTGGCTGGAAATGGTACCTGACTGTAGTGTCTATCCTGTTCTCCACCTTTCTCTACGCACTTGACGCTACGGTTGTCGCGGACCTCCAGTCTGTCATTGTCGAGGAATTCGGCGGCATCCAGCAGCTGTCGTGGCTGAGTGTTGGCTTCCTGCTTTGCGCTACAGTAACCACTCTTTTTTGGGGACGCGTCTACGGCCAATTCGATGCCAAGTGGCTCTACATTTTCCATGTTGCGATCTTCGAGATTGGCTCCGCCATCTGCGGCGCTGCGCCGTCGATGAACGTGATGATTCTCGGCCGTGCCATTACGGGCTTAGGAGGATCTGGTCTGTACGTCGGCTGCATGACGCTTATTGCGAGCACTACCACCATGTCTGAACGTCCGGTCTACGTTTCTGGCACCGGCTTTACCTGGGGTCTCGGTATCGTCCTGGGCCCAGTCATCGGAGGTGCCTTCAGCGAGTCTGCTGTGGGATGGCGATGGGCGTTCTATATCAACCTACTCATCGGCGCGGCGTGCGCTCCAGTCTACCTGTTCCTCATTCCCAGCAAGGATCCTCGGCCCGGTGTCTCGTTCCGCTCGCGAATTACCGACATGGACTATCCAGGCACTATACTGCAGGCCGGCGCACTGACGACTTTCATCGTTGCCATCAACATGGGTGGTATCTCGTATCCGTGGGACTCAGGCCGGATTATCGCACTGTTTGTCGTATCCGGTGTTCTGTTCATCGTTCTGGGCATACAACAGTATTGGAACATACTCACAACGGAAGCGCGTCGCATCATCCCTGTGCAGTTCTTCCGATCGCGGATGGTGCTCATTCTCTTCAGTATCACCGCTGCCGGTGGAGCGTGCTCTTTTGTGCCCATCTACATGGTCCCAATCTTCTTCCAGTTCACCCAGGGCGACGGTCCCCTCGATGCCGGAGTGCGGTTACTCCCTTATATCGTCGTCATGGTCGTTACCGTCTTCATCAATGGTGGCTTGATGTCCAAGTTGGGATACGTCATGCCTTGGTTCCTTGGTGGTGGCGCCCTGGTCGTGATCGGCTCCGCCCTCATGTACACAATCGATCTGGACACTGCTACGGCTCGCGTGTACGGCTTCACAATCCTGATGGGTGTTGGAGTCGGTATGTTCCTCCAGGCGCCATTTTCAGTTGCCCAGGCAGTCGTCGAGCTGGAAAACATTGCGCCAGCGATCAGCTTCATCACTCTGGCTCAGTCTGTGGGCATCACCTTTGCTCTAGCCATCGCCAACGCTATCCTTCTTAACCAAAGCCAGAACAGGATCGAGGGCATTTTGACTGACGTCTCTTCGGCCGATATCCAGGCCGCTATCCTCGGTGCTCGGTCGGATATCGTACAAAACCTATCCCCAGAGTTGAAGACTCGCGTTCTTGCTGCCATTGTCAGTGCCATCAGCAAGACCTACAGCCTTACTATTGCCGGTGGCGCTCTTGTCCTGGTCTTGAGCATCTTCATGCCTCGCAAGCGACTCTTCCAGAAGAATGCTGATAGCACTGCTCCCTAAGCTGGCTTTGGTCACCTACCGTTCCTGTCCTGCTTCTCCAATGTCAGTTTGCATTGCCAGCAGCACACAGCTAGCCTCTGTAGATCAGGGGCGGAAGAAAACGCGCGGATACTACAACACCAACACGGATGCAAGCATGCCTTGCACCGGTTAAAATGTACAATTACCTAATAGATTAATCAACAACCTTCCCTTCATACCACCCAGCTTGCTCCTCAGTGACACATCATGAGCACCAAATCTGAACTGTGTCTGTGACTGATGCTGAGTGTGGCGATACGGAGCACAAGCGTACAAGTAGAGTTCCAAGGTTGGTGATATGCCGGTTGGCCATGTGGGAGAAAAAGAGCGCTGACATCCATGGATGACATCACCAGACGCAGCGCCGAGACACTAGCCCGATTGGGCATCGGCCTTCCGCAACTGGTCCCCCGGCACCTGGGCGTTCAAGTTCGTGGGCCGTGCCACGGACGCACATCCACACGCGCCAATTACAGTCTATAGCATACGACGTGCGATAATTCAAGCTGTGCTCAACCCCCGTATCCTTCCCGACCTCAGGACTCTGTCAATGTCAATTCGACGCATCGTCTAAACTCACCTAGGTACCTAGGTATTTAGATTGTTGGTACATTCTCCATTCGGAGAAGGAATGGATGGACAACCACCTTGTGGTAGGCACTCCCCCGGCGTTGAACCGACAGGAACGCATTGTAAACAATTGTACTCATAACAATCGTCGCGCTCGTTGCAGATGGCACCTTCCACACATTCTGGTCGGCTTGCGATTAACGTCTTAGGCACTTTTAGGTTCTCAGATGTTCTAGCATTCGGTGTGCGTGCGACGACGCCGGCTGGAACAGCCCAGAGCTGAGCATCGGACGTCACTGCGCGGCCATCACTTCGTATGACATTAGTGCCTAGCCAGTTCACGGGACAGACACGGAGGAGGTCATGTTACTTACACGCCTGTGGCAGAACAGTTCCACAGGAATAAGTGCGCACAACTGAATATGTAAACGTTAGCTGACTCTCGATGCGATGGTGCCTAGACAGTGGTGGAACCCACCACCTGGCATTATTTTCCCTATGAAATCGAAGAATACGCGCGATGAGGAGATGAGGGTGTACCGTGAGGAGAGGAAGGCAAAGGAAGAGAAGATTGCAAGGGGGGAAATCGAAGCGGAAGTGCCTGTAGCGTGTAACAGTATCAAGAGTGACTATGATCTCAGCCCTCGCTAGGGATGGGCTGCGGCTATGACCAGGGCGCTAGAGTTGCTGCTTGCTGGATGGTGAGGAACGAGCGTAGTTGATACAGAGATGTCATTCTCATCCTACTTGATCATCAAAGCACAGGCCGTTACTCTCCACGAACCTAAGTGTAAAGCTCCTCAGTAAGCGCATTCAACCCCATTCCCTCCTGCGCAATATCCTCTTCCTTCAAGAAAAGCAACGGCATCTCCACCAGATTCCCCTTAATTGTACTCAGCACCTCCTTAACCTCCCGGACACCCTGCTCGCCCTGGGGGAAGTTCTCCGCAACAACATGACCCCACTTGTACAAGCTCGGCTTCTTGTTCTCCTTGGCCTTTTGGTCCTGGCCGAAGAAGCGCGAGTAGTACTCGTCATATTGCTTCCAGTTCTTGACTTCGTCGCTGGGGACGGGGTGGAAGATTTTGCCGAAGGCTTGCGTGTTGGTGTGGGCGCGCCAGGTCCATAGGGCCTGGAAATCGTCGGAAAGGGGGTCAGCGACTTGGAGGTCTTCGGGGGAGCCCCAGTCGTATTGGTTGGGGACGCCGATGGGCTGGTAGTTAGCGTCTGGGCGTTCCATATCCTGGGGCTTGAGCAGACCGAGGTGCTTCCTGAAAAGCTCTCTGCGGAGACTGGCTGCGAACTCAGATGCGCGGTAGGGACGGCCGTCCATGTATGAATCGACGGTCTTGGGGTCTTGGATGATGATTGCAATCTCGGAGTCGTGGTCGCCGAGCTGGGAGCGGTCGTTGAGGTTAGCTGAACCGCAGATGACGATTTGGTCGTCGGCAATGAGAAGCTTGCTGTGAATGTATAGCTCCTCAGATACGAAGGCGTCCATCTCATTTTCAGCAGAGCCCTCCCAAGGTACACGGCGGATGTCCTCTCCCCCAAGCATGTAGCACTCGCTGACGGTGTCCCAGCGCCCATCGCCAAGACCTTGTCGACCACCGATCTTGACAGCTTCCTGCTGGTAGCGGTCGTAGTCATCGGGTCTGCCCTGACTCTGTGGGCCACCATCATACTGCTGGTGACCAGAGGGAGGACGACCGGAACCATCCATCTCATATACTCCATACTCCTGGGTGGGTGGTGGACGATAGGCTTCGTAGCCACGTGCGTTGTCGTGTGCTGCATCGTAACCCTCTTGAGCTTGGTTGTAAGAGACACCACTACGCTGCTCTGCCTCCTTCATGACCGAGCTGGAGTTGATGCGATCGTAACTGCGGAGGTTGTAGAAGCGGATGTAATCCATCGGGTTGAATCCAGCCCTAGCGATCTCTTCATAGATGGAGTGACCGCCACGGTTGATGGAGTCGTACTGGACTGTGTGACATCATCGTCAGCATAGCGCATGCGGAAGAGACGAATCAAACTTACACTCCATGATGGCTCGAGTGCCCAATGCCTCGTCTAGCTTCAAGTCTCCAGCAAAGGCAGGCACTGCAGGAATCATGACGATCATCTTGTACTTCTCGCCATTTCGCGCAGCACGAACGATGCGTTCAACCATGGCCGCACCGATCTTGTTCTTGATCGGCTTCTGTTGATCGCCAGTGGCGGTGATGAAGAACTGGTTCTCGATGTAGATGAAGTGCTTGCTGTTTTTGATGATCTCACAGTAAGCATTTTGGATGGAATGCTAGCAAACTGGTCAGTGTTTATCCTTTCAGTCAGACATACTACTAACCTCAGTAGTGACAAGGTTGTGGCTCCATTTGGCAGAACTGCGGGCAATCTGGCAGTCCACCCCACCCCTCTGAGAGCTTTGTTCTGCGTGCGACTGTTGTTGACCGTATTGTCCATGCTCTTGGCCACCATACTGCTCAAATTTACTCTGCATCTTTTGGCGAAGATGCCCACCAGCACCGTGTCCGAACAGTCCTCGTTCGCCCTCCTCTTCGCGACCAAATCCGCGTTCACCCTCTTCTTCGCCTTCGAATCCTCGCTGTTGCATCGAAGGTGCCTGTTGAGCTCCGCTGCCTGTATCCGGTAACCTGGTGTATCTGGAAGATTTGTGAGAATACTTCTCGTCATAGATGAAGTTCCAACGTTGGGCAAAGTGAGTACGAAGATCCTGTACTACAGGACCGGAGAGACACAGCGCTACATCAGACCATCCCATGCGAGAGCTTTGGGTCCTGTCGAGTTTGTTGTTCTCCCAGTGGGTCACGTCTTGGAAGTCTACTCAGTGTCAGCAAACATCACCGCCTCACGTAGGAGGAGACCGCCTGTCTGCCGTCTGAAAGTCCCAGAGTACGACGATGACTTACCTAGCATACGAGCGTTGTTGAAGTCTTGACCTGGGAACACGATTCGGTCGATGTTGCCGGGATGCGCGTCAGCAATTGCGTGCTGGTTAGTGTCCCAACGACCGTAGCAAAGATCCAATCCTCCCATGAATGCGATGTGACCGTCAATCAGGCAAAGCTTTTCGTGATGAGCCCAGTACATGACGGTACCCTCGTGGGCACCGTAAATCGCCTTTAGGCCGTCTCCGGGCAGCTGGGCGAGCTTTGCTGGGGTGAAGGACATGTTCTTCATCGACGCGAAGAACGAAGACTGTAGTACCGCCGCATCTGGCAAATGGTCGGGGTGTCGGAAGACACCAATGTTGGGGTGAAGATCTTCCAAGTGGTGTTTGGTATGAGCTGAGGAGACTGTAATAGGAGGGGCAATCAGCGGATCTGTCTTTTCCCACTCTTCAAGACTTTTGAATATAACATCTAGGCCGACCCGCGTGAGGCCTTTGGTGAAACTATCCGTCGAACTCGGTAAAAGAGAATGAAGATAGTCTGGTAATGTTGGATTCAAAAACTTACGAGTCAGAGCTTGCGTGACCTCCTTGTACACGATGATGTTGACCTTGACGCCGCGTTCTGCTGCCGCATGCAGCAATCGGTCGACCCGGTACTGTTGGTTCTTGGCGGGCGGTCGGCGAAGATACAGCTCGGGAGAGAGCCACCAGTCGAGGATCCAGATCGACTCTTTAGCGCGCTCCAAAGCTATGGAGACGGCGTACATGTAGCTACACATGTCAATTGGATTCGTGTATGATTAGGTATGTGGAAATGTAAAACTTACCTGCACCCGTCAACATACCACTTGGTCTCGTTGCCATGTCGTTCAGGCGCGAAGCTCAAGAAGCGGTGTTGTTGATGGTACTCTTGCCCAGGTTGTGGCTGCCCGCCCTGTTGGCCCTGCTGTTGATATGTGCCCGGCGGGGGCTTCTGCGCGTTATCATCGCCGGATATGGCATCCTTGAGGTCGGAAACGAAGCCGTGGAGAGGGTCGTGGATCTTCTTGAAGAACGACATACCGCCGCTGCCCTGGTTTGAGGATGAAGAAGCGGGTTGGTTGTTCTGCGGTGCTAAGGTTAGGAATTTGTAGATCCAAGACAAGCTTCTAGATACGCGTCCTGTCCCTGCAGCAAGCTAGGCGGTGTAGAATAGGAACGCAAGATACGCGAAGTCAGTGAATGACAAGGCAGCCCGACGCTATGACTGTCGGGTAGTGGGGCAATTCCACTTCCTCAACAGCGCGATACACAGGGAGTACAATGACCGCATGGCGTTTCAAGGGAATGTACTGACCTCTTTTCTGCCAAAGCCAAAACGCCGACCCATGTCACCTATGAGGCCGCGATCTCCCTCGTCGCCCTCCTGCCCATGGTAGTCGCCATATGCCAGATCATCGTCTCGGCGAGACATTGTGCCGGACTGAGGGTTCTGGTTGTTTGCCACTCAGCGCGAAGGATGTAAAGTGGACGGGGTGTCTTCACAGTTGGAGCTTGAGGCCGAATTGACCCCGCGTCATCATCTCAGCGCGACGGACCACGCACCTGCACTGCAGGGAAGCCCGAGCGTGCGAGCTGAACATGTGAAACAGACACCAATGAAGTGCGCGCACCCTGATTTCCGTCTCTGCTGGCCAGGCGCGTACCGGCGCTAGGATGCAGCATGTAGCCCCTCATAGCCCTGGAGTACCCCACTATGTACGGAGCTTCCCCCTCTTTTGACAGCTTCGCCATGCTGCGCGACATGTGGTGGTAGCAGTTCAACCACGATATCGCATTGCAAACACCAAAGAGCACTGTGATAGAGCTTTCCTGGATGGTACAAAGCGCCCGCTCAAGAGTCCACACAACTTGTGGGCCGCATGGAGATGCGGCAGACGCACATGGATGACGTACCCTTGTATCATCGGCTGCTTGAGAGCGGTTCGGTAGCTGGAGAGCTCCTCGTCTTATCTACCCACGCCGTTACACAACATCGTTGACATAGCCGTTTCCTCAATTTGCTATATCTTTCACAATGGCTTTCTCATCTCGTCTTGCGCTTTCTGCTAGGTTGGCAACTCGCGCATTTGGATCTGTACGACCTGCTGTCCCTCTCGCAGCTACCCGTTGCTTCCACTCCACGCCTATCGCCATGGCGCAACACCCAATTGCTACTTTGAACGTAAGGAGAGAATGAATCTTTGTCGGGCGACGCTAACAATCGCATAGGAAGAACTCATCCCTCGTCTGCCTCCCTCCTCCCCGACCCTCTTCGAAGCAAAGAAGAAGAAGAACCTCTCTTTCGAAGCTATCGCAAAGCACGTCGGGCGCGATGAAGTAGCAATCGCCGCTCTCTTTTACGGTCAAGCCATGGCATCCGCCGAGGACATCAAGAAGCTGTCTGAAATTCTAGAGATTGACGCTGGGCTGATCGAATCGCTTGGAGGCTTCCCTAACCGAGGTAGCACGCTCGACATGCCACCAAAGGACCCGACCATCTACCGCCTATACGAAATTGTACAGAACTACGGACAGGCATACAAGGCAGTTATGCACGAGAAGTTCGGTGACGGCATCATGAGTGCCATTTCCTTCAGCACCAAAGTAGAGAAGGAGACGGATGACAAGGGCGAGTGGGCCAAGATCACGCTGAGGGGCAAATGGTATGTGATAGTGCATGTATCCTCGACGGTTACTGACAGACTTCTAGGCTACCATACTCGCGATTCTAGTCGCATCGTAATAGCAACCAAAGATGTGATCCATGCCAAGTACAGTCTCTTGTAGTTGTGATTCTTCGTGTCAATACCTATAGTCATTGCTTCTTGTTCTATTCGAGTATCGTATCGTGTTTGGAGTGCTGCGATTCTTGCCGTGGGATTCATGCTTGTTGTCCATGGTGGGTTGTTGTTGATCTATGGTGCAGCTTCCTAGGTGAGAGCGCAAACCCACCGCTCTTGCCCATAATCTCCCTCACCTGCCATGCCTGCCTAACTCACCCTCACCCCACTAGCTTTCCCCTCGCTACATAAACAACTCGAGCTACAAGAATCCATCCTTCCAACACCACCATCTTTTCTGCATCCGCTCGGCCACGACCAAGCTCTTCCTTCAGCACACGGTCAATCGAAACAAACGTCTCTCACTCCTGGAAAAGAAGCTTAGTCAACACAAGATTCTCTACTGGTATCTCGCGGCACGCTGCTCGTCCTGACGGGAGAGAGGCTTTAACGGCTGCGCACATACGTCACCTTTACTGGTACTACTATACACCCAGGGCTGCCCATCAAACCAGCGTAACCAAGGCGACAACCCACATTGTTCGCACGCAGGTGAGCGCAGCTTCAATGCCGCGTATTTTGATCGCCTTGAGACTGACTTCGCACACAGTGGAAACGAGTCAAGCTCCTACCTCGAAGAACCACCCCCACGAACTCACGAGAGTCGATCACGACCACGAAGCCAATATGCCAGCCACACTAGAGCCAATCCGACGCGTCAAGTGTACCTATAAAGACTGCGACATGTCTTTCGAGACGGAGAAGATCATGAAGAATCATAAGAAGAACACTGATGAACACGAGTACTGTCACAAGTGTGACGAAGACTTCGATACCTTCGAGGACTACGCCATGCACAAGATCACGCGTCCAGAAGAGCACAACCTGGCATGCCGTGTCTGCGGTGACGAGTTCAAGAGCAAGTCAGGCCTGAAGCGCCACATCGAGCTCAACCACAGAGTCGACCAGAAGCTCACCTGCATCGGCTGCCAGAAGTCGTTCTACCGCGCATGCCTCTTCATCGAGCATCTTGAGTTCGGTCACTGCGACGTCATTCCAGCACAGCAGTTCCAAGGCCATATCGTCCACAAACATTTGATTGCGGATTTGTTGGACGGCGGCGAGCAATACCTTCGCTTTCTGCAGAAGACATCCAAGTACGAGGCAGCCATTGACAATGATGATCCGACTGGAGTCGACCTCACTGATGATCATTTCGGCGACGAGCATGAGATTGAAGAGGTCAAGTACGAGGCGATCAAGCCGGATAAACCCGAACACGAGGATGTTCCAGTCTTCTACGGCCGGTATCCTCCTCTTCCCTCTCAAGCCAAATCCATTCCGGACGTGGACGCGGCAATCGCACCGATGATGAGTGGAATCTCTCTTAACGGAGATGCCGACAATGACTCCGATTGTTCAACAGCCGTCGGATCTCCTGTCGTCACTGGCTATCCTGCACGTACTAGTTCTCATCTCGGACACTCTCATCAAGGCCAAAGTTGCTCTTCTGCACATGGCGATTCCGCGGCTCAGAGCTCAAACACCCAGTCCTCCAGTCGCCAGACCAAGGTCTGGGGCTCTCGTAAGGGCAAGACAACGAGCTCAGTACTATTCCCCAACGCCAAGCCCAAGGCCCCTCCCAGCGACTTCTCCATCTCCGCCCACGACGAGATCATGGAAAAGGAACACGGTCGCAACATCTTCAGCTTTCGGTTCTGGGATCCCATGAGCGACGACTGGAATCCCGAGCGCTTCTGGGACCCCATCGTCAACAAGTACTACTGTCCCTTCATCTGCGAGTAAGTCCATCATGCCATCCTTAGCCCTCTTCCCTCGCTAACCCTTCCCCAGACAGTCTTTCCCCATATCCAGCGACCTCCACACGCACATTCTCGGCGACCATCGCATAACCCGCATGAAATGCCCAAAGTGCCTCAAATACTTCAAGTCCGCCACCGCGCTAATGGCGCACTGCGAGTCGCGCGGAGCCCGTTGCAACATCAACCAGACGGACAACTTCAACAACTTCCTCGACCGCATGTCTGGAGGCTTCCTGGGTGTCAATGAGAAGATTCGGCCTGATCACCTTAATACGCGTTCTGTCATGATACAGAACTCGGAGACGGGCCATATGGAGCTGTACAAGCCACCGGTTGCGAGCTATCTCCAGTATGAGGTTACGACGCCCCCGGATTGGAAGGATCCGGTTAGGCAGGGTGTGACGATTGGGGGCATGGGCGGGGGATCGCGGTGGTGAAGTGAGGTGATGGTGGTGCGGTAGGGATGGGATGGAGTTTGTGTGTGTGGTCTTGGTGACAAAAACCCTGGGACGAGATGGATTGCCTCCGGGACCAGTCGGTGTCTGGTGGATTGCACATGGCAATATCACGGTGGCACTACTTTTCATTCCCCTACTCGGGGTGCCTAAATGTGCTCTCCCGAGTCGATCAATCATGATGATATGTAGAGAAAAAGGTACCCAACTTGGCAGCACAAAAATGCAGTTCTCCAAAGCACCTCATACATGAAAAAAAAAACGTGAACAGGTCTGGAGCCTACATCGACGCCAGATCACCTATCTTGCATGCTTCAACGTTAGTGTAGGCTGCAGGCCTGTTGAGCTTTTGTCTTGGCTGACGTGAAAGTTAAATACTTGGTATCTATGCTCCATCAATTCTGAATGCAGAGGCCGTTGATTGTAAACCACAAAATTCACATCTCCATCTTTATCTCAGCTAACCCACTTCCGTATCTACATAATCCGTCCCACCGCCATCTCCGCCATCATATTAGGCAAATGACTTGGATTCAAACTCCTCTTGCTCGGCGCGTCCGTCGTCGTAAGATTGAGGCTTCCCATGTCGCACCACGAGACTCCGTTTGTTGTAATAGGCTGTTGAGAATGTCGTTAGCAAAAACATACTTTCTGCCAGATACAACCCAAGATGGAGCATGAATAGAACGGGGGATAGAACTTACCAAACAACTCAAATGCTTACACCAACTACACGTATTCCTCCACTCGTAAAAGTTCCGCAACAGGAGGATAAATCCGATAAACACCGCTACCAAACCCCCAGCACGGACAAGCCACCACGCCCACCAGAGCGGCTTCCTCCCCTTGAAGAAGCCCACGGGCTGCTTCGCAAACGCCGTGATCTTGCTATTGCTAGTCTTTGGTTTACTGCCCTCATCTCCGTCCGCACCGAGCGATGCAGAATGAGCTAGAGGAGCCGTATCTACAGTCGCATACGGGGGTTCACTCTGGCCCGTGCGTGCGCGTAGCGATTCGGGAGAGTGGATAATACAGATACCCAGTACGATTCCCATTAGGAACCCGCCGATGTGGGAGAAATTGTCCAGACCGGGGAGTAGACCGATGACGAAGGCGATGGCCATGTCGAGGAGGAGGAAGAGGAGGTCTTTGACGGGGCTGCGGCGTGTAGACCAATTGTACAGTAAATCCAGCATGGTGAGTGCGAGGACGCCGAAAAGGGATCCAGATGCACCGACAGAGGTAATGCCGTCGGGGGCGTAGTTGCCACCTAGGACGAAACCGAAGATACCAGCGGAGAAGTATACGAGTGCGAAGCGAAGGGGACCGATTTCCTTTTCCATGTCGCGGCCTAGTGTCCACTGGAGGAGCATGTTGAAGCCGATGTGAATGAGTCCAGCGTGGAGGAATATGGGCGTGATGAAGCGCCACCATTGGTTGGGTTCGTGGCTGCGGTCTTTGAAGTCTGTGACGGAGGTTTGGTCGGGGACGCCGCTGCCCATGCCGCAGAGTTCGGCGAGGGTGCATTTGTTGTCTGTGAGGGTGGTCGTGTTGGGGCAGGGCCAGTCTACGACGGGGCCTGGCTGCGCTTCGATGACGCGCTTGATGTTGTGCATGCAGGGCGTGAAGCGCGCGCCCATGTTGATGAGGACGTAGGGCGAGGGGCCGATCATGATGTTGAAGTTGGGTTTCGTTTGGATGGGGCTGCCTGTTAACATGCCTGGGGGTTGTTAGTCTGTTTCTTATAGTGACAGATGCCAGACGTACCATTCTTGATCAGCTCTCCCACGAATACACCAACTTGCACCGCTGTAAGGATATACACAACCCACGTCACCCGTCCACTAAACATGCCTTTCTTCTTTTTGCTCTTTCTCCGCCGTGGTTCTACGCCCATACCATAGTACTCTGGGTCACCATTATACCGTGTCGGACTGCTGCCATCCATCTTCGGTTGGTTCTGAAGCGGTATTGCGTTCTGGTCGGCAAACGGGTCTGGTTGCCGCGCGTACGGGTCGTTGATGTGTGCCGTCGAACTATATTGTGTGGGGGGTTGGTACGAGGTATTCGAATACGATGTATCGATGGGGTAGCCGCCGAGGGCTCCGCTGCTTGCGGTTTGGGTTGGGTAGGGCCGGTCGCCAAAGGGCGTGCTGACGGGCGAGATGGAATGTTGCGTGTGGTTGCTGGGTATCGGCGGCAGAGGCCCGTCGTTCCTGTCATGCGACTGCCCTTGGGTGTTGCCGTAGTAGTCGTTGGCCGCCATGATGGGCAGGCACTTGTGGTATTAGGAAGGCGCGAAGGTGCACAACGTGATGCGCAACAGTAGCAGGTGTACGTCGTGTCGAAGGGCGCAATGCAGGTGAGGTCGACTCTGTCGAACAATGAAGTTGTGGGGTAGACGAAGGGTTTGGCCTTGCTTAAGCTGGGGGGGCGTGCGACGACTCGTCGTCTCCGGAACAAGCCTCGCGCAAGCCTTGTGTAAGTCCAGGGGTTCCTTCGGCGTCTCGGAAACACGAAAGAGGAACAAGAAGACCACGTTAATCCAAAAACTCAGGCACCCGCTGTTATATGACCAACGCCAGCACACAACGCAGCAACGAAGCGAATGTCGGAAACGAGAGGCTGAGGGTTGCGGTTTGCGTATGCAGAGACCGACCGGGGCTCAGAAAGCGAGTGATGCGCAACTCAGCCCCAGCTGTGGAACCGGTAAAGGATGCTGTACCCTACAACCTAGCGTCTAAGCGGCGATCTGTGGCGTAGACGTGCTAATAATAACTGCCGCACACCTTGGAGTCACTGATATACACGGAATTGACGTAGAAAGTGGCGATGTGAATGTACGATGTATTTAGTTTTAGTTGTCACATTTTGGCGACTGCGCGCTGGCATGGAACCACGTGCAAACCCCTGGAGCTTGTGGCAGTTACCGTTGCGCTGCTGGTGCCACTGCGGAAAGTGGATCTGCCAGACGCACTAAAAGGTATAAGATCCACTTGTTTACGCGGACAGTGAGACATGCGTCACCTACATCATCAGGTATGCATGCTGATCCCAAGATCCTCTCCTGATGGTGCTGATGCAAAATCCGAAGAATATTACTGTATTCAAGCTATCTAGCCTACAACGGCGGTAAGCTCTCTCTGCAATTCGGACACATGAGTCGATACCGCATCCACCCTTCCAGACACCCAGTATGGAATATGTGCCGACAAGGCGTAACCATGTACTGCCTTCTCTGTAGAATCATACTTGTCCCGCCCATGCCAGCCACACTGCTCTCATCAGCGCCTGCGGGTATGACAGGGACTTCGATGTCGTTGGCGCAGATACTGCAGTCGAAGACTTTTTTGCCTTTCGATTTGGATTCACCTGAGGCTTTGGAGGATTCGCCGTCGGGGGCAGAGGCGTCGATTGTGGTGGGTGAGTCTGTGGAGGTGGTGATGTTGAGGGGCATTGTTGCGCCTTCTTCGTCTTCGCGCAGAATGGGGTGGTAGTCGTATGCGGGGGGTGCCCATCCATCTCTGATGAAGAAGCGTGGACCTAACAGTTCCTGGCTCACCAACACTACCACTTGAATCCACACCCACCCTGCCAGGAAACCCATTGCTCTCCAGTCTGTTCTTGAAAACAGTACGTTGTCTTCTTTCATGTAAAAGTAAGCTACAGGCGCGATGCGGGCCACGCTCGTTCCTACAACGTAGTCCCAGCGCAGTGCTCGCCGGCAGTTGCGCATGATGTTTCTGTAGATTTGCGGTGCCCAGAACGAGAGATAGACGAAAGTGATGACGTCGAAGTAGATCGCGCGGTACGTTGTGCGAGCAGTCCCAAAGTGTATAGTCACAAAAAACAAGACTATGAGCATAAGGCAAAAGCGGCTGTACAGTGCACCAAGCTCGGCCCGGGGATTCGCATTCGTTGTCGTAGCGCCGGCGGGAGTGGGCGTATTGTTTGGACTCGGAGTGAGATCTTCGTCGGGGTCGTCCTGGTCTGGTGCGATGATGATGGGAGTAGGTGGACGTGGCGGTCGAGCGGCAGTAGCTGGCAAAGGTAAACCACCATCGGTGGGCGGTGTTGGAGCTGCAGGCTCAGGAGCTGGAGTTGGGGTCGCAGTAGTAGTTGCAGGACTTCGTTGTCGCTCCTGACGGGCTCTCTCCGCTGCTTGCACAGACCAGATATCCATCAAGAAGCGTAGGTGTGTCAGTACAGAGAAAAGCGCTATGAACGCGATGCTGTACAGCGCCAACTGTGCCGTACCGAGGAAGAAATACATGAAGATGAGAATCAAGAATGTGAAGCCATCTCCAAGGGCCATCATAGCGATTGTATAGAAGCTGACCCGGCTGCGCATGGACGGCGTTGCGGTCTCTTTCATCTGCTTAAGAGTGAAGGAAAGTTGGAACGCAAGACTGATGGCAAAAGCGAGAATGCCGTGTCTCGCGCGGACATTGAAATCTTCTGTCTTGGATCCAACCAGGTGCATGGCTTCTGATGGCGGAAAATCTGGAGGACCCTTTGACTCAATCACGAAACCACAATCTGGAGAGAAGCCCACCATGGACATGGCGTGAGGGATATCGTGTGGGATAGGAGCGCCAGTAGGAAAGCGGAGCTCGTGCTCGAGCCAGTCCATGTCGACGTTGGATTGACTTGGAAACTCTTGAAGATACAAGACGAACTCGCAGTGGTGCCCTTGGAACATGCCTTCATTGTTGCCCTCCGCGGCGGATGTCCAGGGATTCCAGTTCGGGAAGGTTCTCTTCTCTTGTCGTTCTATAGCTTCGTGTATCGTCCAATTGAGGAATTCTTGAGAGGTCGAGTAGAAGTAAGGAGTAACCTGCAAATGAGGCAAAGCGAAGATGCCCGCGAACCGATCACTCGTAGTCGTCAGAACAGCAGTTCCACTCTTCAAAAAATGAACGCCGTGTGCCACGAACTCCCACCAATTGCCCCCAAAGCTGTCTTTGTCTCCGATGACCACTTTCGCGCTGATCTCAGATATAGTCTTGTTCGCATTCCTCCGCATTCTATCTTCCAGCTCTGTGACGTGTATCCGCAACGGTCCACCTGCACCAGTCAGGTTCCTGTCGTATACCGCCATGTTTCCGAAGGGATCGTCGGGTATGGCTGAGGCGTTGCCCATGTCGCTGGGATGCCGTATGCGACTCAGAGGCGAGCGCGTCCATTCTCCCTGCACGTAACCAGACAGGTTCTTGTATACCGGCATGCTGGCTTCCCCCTCCTGCAGCGGCCCATCCAGCATGGCCTTCCACCCATCTCCCAGTAGTCGCTCAGACTGCGCCTTTGCCTTCTGCCTCACTGGGTCCAGCAAGTCCCACGCAAAGCCATCCTCATCCCGCAGCCCAGTGACATTGAGCCACCTGTCCTTCCTTGGGTTGAAATCGCCGTATCGCGTCCGATTAAGGATATCGAGTTGGTAGAATTCGCGCTCGATGAGCTCTCGGTAACGGGTGCGCGCATTGAAGGTTGGCTGTTGCTGTTCGGGCGAGTTGATGAGCAGCAGCAGGATTATAAAGAAGAGAAAGGATCGGGGGTCTCTTCTAGTTTCCATCAGGGCGGCTTCGGTCGTGCATGAGCCGCCATGGAGCGGGTGGATGCAGGCAGGCGGGAATGCAACGGTAGGTAGCGCAGGACGGATGACGTGCGCAGATCCGAGGTCTCGACTCACGCGTGTCTGCTATCCACGTACAGGGTCCACGCACGACAGCTTGGCAAAAGGTAGCTCTCACAATTATCATCATTTCACATGTTCAGGATTTGGATGTATCTATCTATCGATTTCGGCCAAAGGGCAAGAGGGGTATTGGGTCAATTCTATGTACACCGAGAAAGCGGGCAAGATTACTTCATCATGGCCTATCCTAAACACCTGCAAACGCCTCCATGCTGATCCTTTTCTTCGTACGCGTAAGCCGTGACTCTTTCAAATAGCATAAGGGCATAACAACATCTACTGCATCGGGCTGCTAATCGCTGGTGGCGCAGCCTCCAGGTCAACACGCTGGACCGTCTGGCGCAGGTCATTGCTGCTGCGGACGAGGTTGCCGAAGTACTTGCGAGCGATTTCGGTTTCCGCCTTGAGCTTCGTTGTCTCCTCCTTCTGCAGCTGGAGCTTCTCGACGTTCCTCTGTAGGCCGATGCGGACATCGTTGGCAGGGCCCTTGAGTGCACGGCGAACCTCGGAGCTGATGCGAAGGGCGTTAGAGTGTGTGTAGTCGATCGCCGAGAGCTGTTGAGATAGCTTTGCGCTGAGGCGGTGAGGTAGCGACTTGGGCACGGAAGCCAGGACGTATGATACTCCGAGAGCAACTAGAGACGTTAGTATAGATCAAATGACAGTGAAAGGATGTGCTTACCACCAGCGATGAGACCGGGGATGATCAGTCTCCTCATGTTGCTTGTACCCATGACCTTTGCAGCACCAAGGGCACCGTCTAGCCAGCCGACGCCGCCGACCAACCTGCCACCTACTACACCGGCAACAGTCATGGCCATACCAGCACCGGCAGCCTTTTCTTGTCGTTCCCATAGACTGGCGACATCGAAGAAGTCCCATAGGTCGATGTCGATGTCCACTTGGCGCGCGAGAGCGTGCACTGACTTCCTAAACATCCTCTCTGGGCGGAACATGACATCGGCATACAGGTTGTTACCAAGATGTAAAACACCCAAGTTCTTAATGCCGTTGTAGCCTTGTACCGCTTGGGTTCGTGCATGTTCTTCGCACAAGCGAACCGCTTCGGTGATCTCGTGGAGCATGGAGTCTCTGATGTCCTCGGCGTACTGGTAGGCTGAAAAGAGGCCAGGGTATTCGATGCCAAGATCCTGCTCTGCCACCCTGGCGATAGAGTTGTTGAGCGTGTCCCGGGTGTAACCATAGACGTCTGATGTTGTGTCCTCGACCATACGATCAACCGCCTCTCCGGCTTCTGTCCGCGACTTCTTTGACTCTTCGAACTCGGGCTCGAGCGCCTGGATCTCCTTGGTGACACGGTCCAATTCGCTCTGGGAGACATCTCGGTTGACAGTGGCAAGGTTGTTCATGTCTCCTAGCACGTTGAGGAGATAGGTCTTGGCGGGTGCCAGCTTGGATCGCGCCCTCTTTTCCAATACGAAACGTCGCAACGAGGCCTCGAGATCAGCAAAGTCGCGCTGCTTCTCTGCTTCCTTGCCCTTTCCTTTGTCAGAGGGGTCATCGTCGCCGTCGTCATCCGGGGGGCTCCCACCTCCACCCATGGGAATGGCGTTACTGGAGACGAAGTGCACCAGTTCGCTGGACTCCTTGAATGTGGCGGGACTGAGATTGGCGACTTGCTTCAGGATCATTTCCTGGCAACGGTTCTGATCGCGGATGGTGTCGAAGCCGTTGACCACCATGAACATGTATGCCTTCTCTCGCGCGGCGGTGAAGATGAAGTTCTTGGCGGACTCGGTGAAGTGGTTGGCGGCAGAGACGACGAAGACGACAACGTCAATCTCTTCTTGGCGAGCGAAAACGGCGGTCGTCTTTAGAGAGTCGGCGTTCAGACCCGGGGCGTCAATGAGAGCGATGTCGACGACTCCGTTGTTGAGGAGAGATTCATCCACGTCCCGGATGTCCTTGACGTAGATCTTGCATTGTGAGAAGTGGTCGTTGTCAATGACGATCTTCTCAAGGTCCTTCAAGTCGAATACAACATAGGTGCTCTCGTCGTTGCGGTTGTATGTCGAGCCGATGGGAATCGCATGGACCTCTTCGACTCCGCCGTTCTCTCTGAAGTCAAGCACCTCGCAGAATATGCTTGTGCAGGGCTGCTGGTCTTCGGGAAGGACCTTGCGTCGGAGGAGAGCGTTGCAGAAGGTTGACTTTCCGGCGTTGAGATCTCCGGTGACCAGGACCTTGCTCGATGTGTCCTCGATACGCTCTTTGAGAGAGAAAAGGTGGCGTATGCTCTGCTGGATCTGTCCGTCGAGGAGAGAAGCAACCGAGTTCTTCTCGAGCGAGTGTACCAGGTCTGTCTGGTTCCGGCCTCCCATGCGCAGTTCCAACTTCAGGACGGAGAAGTCGTGGGCCAGCTGTGGCGTGACGAGTCTGGGCTCCTCCTTGCGTTTCTGTTCGGCGGTTGAGCTCGATTCGCCAAAGTCATCTCCAATCGTCGTGCCCGCTCGGCGGGGTCCTCGTGGTCGTTCGGGGGAGCGCATGTCGGGGTCGAAGTTGCCCATGGCCGACTGTGTGTGCTGCAGGCCGGGCCGTGATTCGTTGCGGAGATGTGCTTTTTGCTTTTCTGCCACCTGGACCGAGGGGTAGTGGGCCGGCCATTTCAGGTTCATCTCTTGGAAACTCTTCAGCGTCTCGATGGTGCCAGCAATGGCGCGGCCGAGGGCGTTCTTGTTCTGGTTGTAGCGCAGCTGCAGGACATGGCTGCGCTGGCGTTCGTGTTCGGCGTTCCCTGACCCGGCAGACAGCATCGGTGATGGTCTGTCTTCGCCAATGTTAGACCGCCAATTCATGCCGCTGCCTTCGCCGTCTTGCATACTTCCGCCATAGCCAGAGTCCTCGTCGAGCATCGAGACGAGGCGGGCGGCGGCGTCGCTCGTGGTGCTGCCGCCGCCGACCGTCATGTATCCGGGTCCAGCATTCCGGCGCGGGACGAAGTCGTCGGATTGGCCACGGCGGCCGCTGCTGGAGGACTCGCCGGGCGAGGAGGGGCGGCCGTTGCGTCGATCGGGATTCATCGAGGTGGTTCGGGTGGTTGCGCTATGAGGAGGGGCGCATGTCGTGATAGATGCGGAGGGGCGGGTGTGAAGTTGTGGAGAGAGGCGGTGTCGAGAAAGAATATGCTGAGACAACGTCAGAGTTGGTGTGCACACGCCACCTCGCACCCAAGCAGGGATTGGCTGTCGTGACAGCTACACGCCCACCAGGGCACTGCCGCGGCATACACGTGTGCAGCGATTTCACGTCCACCTTTGCACGTCTGGCTGGGCGCTGTGTAATGCGTGAATCATTTGGGTGAATTGGTGTACTAGAATTGCGCTTGCTTAGAGGCGGGCAAGTGGTAGATAATTCCCTCGAGGCTCGGCATCGCCATACCTGCGTCTGCGTATCTTGCCCTCCACGCCTCAACCCGGCCGAACATCAAATGACATAATCGGGCAAGGCAGCCACTTTTACAACTTGACGTCTCGGCTCCTCTCGCACAAACACTCGCCTATCCAGAGCTGGTCTCTTCCTCTAGTCTTGTAATCTGAGCGAAGTGGTCGTTCGTATCGCGCTGCCCGCCGCACCCACATCTCCAAGTCTACCCCAGGATCCTCCACAAACCTCGCCCAATCTAGTCGCAACCATGAACGTATGTATACCTTCCCTTGTACATAGCCCATGCTGACAACCCTGCAAGATCGTAGAATGGGCCTTCGGAAAGCGCATGACGCCGGCGGAACGGTTGCGGAAGCACCAGCGCGCACTCGAGAAGACGCAGCGAGAGTTAGACCGCGAGCGCGTGAAGCTTGAGAACCAGGAGAAGAAGCTAGTCGCAGATATCAAGAAGAGCGCAAAGAATGGGCAGATGGGTCCTCTGCGCATCCAGGCAAAGGACCTGGTGCGCACACGGCGGTATGCTGAGTCGCTGTCGCATTGCTGATAGGACATGGCTAACGTACGCAAGATACATCCAGAAGTTCTACCAGATGCGCACACAACTGCAGGCGATTTCGCTCAGGATACAGGTATGGCGTATGCCTACTAGGAACGGACATGGCTAATGCGGGCAGACCGTACGCAGTAACGAGCAGATGATGCAGTCTATGAAGGGCGCGACAAGTGAGTACATGTACAACTTTTCGCTAGACTAGTCTAACATGCGCAGCACTGCTCGGAAGCATGAACAGGCAGATGAACCTGCCCGCGCTCCAACGCATTGCCATGGAGTTTGAGAAGGAGAACGACATCATGGACCAGCGGCAGGAGATGATGGACGACGCTATCGATGATGCCACTGGCATGGAAGACGAAGAGGAGAGCGAAGACGTCGTCAACCAGGTCTTGGATGAGATAGGCATCGATCTTGGCCAGGCTGTGAGTACTCTCTCACTACCAAGACCGCAATCGCTAACGTCGCATAGCTTGGCGAGACGCCCAGCGGACTGCAGAAGAACGCAGTACCTGAAGCTAGGGTGGCGCAGGCTGTTGGCGGCGGCGGAGCTGACCCTGATGACGACGACCTCCAGGCACGCTTGGACAGCCTGAGAAGGTGAGGTGAAGGGCTAGTACCAGAAGCAACTTCGCCATGCCCGCGCAGCATTCTTGGCTCGGTGTCAGCATGCATAGATCTCTAGCCGACGGCTTGAATAGAGCGTTCATTCTTGATCACGTCAAGAGACAGTGCAATCTGCGTATGAAGATCTGAAGATCTCAAATTTCCGCTGTTCATGTTGCGGGATAGTCATGGCCGGCGGTTGTACATAGACATGTTAGTCAATTCAGGCCGGCTCCACAGTACGCGCCGGTCTGCATGCGCGCGAGCCTAGATCGTGCTGATCCGCAGCCCAAAACCCTGGATTTGCTTTGGGTATGCTAGCCTTGGTTGATATAGCAGAGTCACAGGACCGTGTATTTGGCCTGCGCCGTCGCCTCCATTCACACCCGCGCAGTACCTAGCGGGGTCGCCTTCGTGAGTCGAGTACCTGCGCAATTGATCCCCGCACTTCCACAACAAGCAGTCGGGTTCCCAGTGCTCGCGCTGTCTGCCACTCACTACCTATCCGCCCACGCTATCTCGACGATCGTCCAATCTCAACCCTGGAACGTGCCCGCGCCTTGTCATCTTTTCGCAGTGTCAAGCCTTCTCTTGCGCCAATTGATATTTCCGGCTGCTCGCCCCGCCATACACCCTCGACGTCATTACACCTAGCACCGACGACTCCCACGACTCCTCCCCTTGCATCCGTCTACATCTTTCCTACATTCTTGTCCCTCGAGCCCCGCTTATCTCATCCGCGAATCCGCCGCCGCCTCGGCCGCCCCATCTGCATCGCCGCCACTACCCAGTCACCAAACGCCAGCGCCATCCTCCAAGCTGGCAGGTAACAGGCGTCGGAGCGCCCAGGGAGGCTTGCTCTCGAAAATGTTTGGCAATGCAAAGGACGACGAGAGTCCCGCCGTCGACACCCCTGCCAACCATGACGCGCCCAAACCCGCAGCCCCAGTGGCGGACAACGCAGCTGCTGCACCGACAAACACAACCAGCAACGGCTCCGCTTCCATAGATCGCAAGCCCAGTGACGCTTCCGCCCCCACCGAGAGAAAACGACGGAGTAGTGGCGTATCGCGTGCCCGCGACATGTTCTCGAGCGCGAAACAGTCGCTGCACCTAGGCGGCTCTTCTCCCACCAACACGACCAACAACACCATGACCGAAAAGGCCGCCCCCCAGACGCCCATGCAGAAGCTGGGCAAGTCGGATGCTGCCCTCAGTGTCCCCCAGGGCTCCCTCAACAACTCGGCTGGCGAGTCGGCGCCCGGCCCACGATCTACCTTCCGCGTCGGTGTCACAGAGGATAAGAACAAGAAGTGCAGACGAACGATGGAGGATACCCACGCATACCTGTACAACTTCTTGAGCACCCCAGCGCCCTCGTATGCCGCCGACAAGGCCCGCGCCATCTCCGACGCCAGCTCCACTCAGTCTGACCCTCTGTCGCAAGCCGTAGTTGAGACGGACAACGGATACTTCGCCATCTTTGACGGACACGCCGGAACCTTCGCTGCCGACTGGTGTGGAAAGAAGCTTCACCTGATCCTGGAAGAGACAATCCGGAAGAACCCCAACACCCCGATACCCGAGCTGCTCGATCAGACCTTCACTGTCGTCGACCAGCAGTTGGAGAAGCTTCCTTTGAAGAACAGTGGTTGTACCGCGGTCATTGCAGTTCTGAGGTGGGAGGACCGAGTACCTAATGCGCAATCGTCCACCGGCTCAGTGCTCTTTGCACCCGCGGCTGTATCGGCTATCAAGCACGCAGGCGAAGGCGGCGAGGCTACCGATTCCGCTGTGGAGCCCGCGGCTGAACAGCAAGTCGAGGCGAGATTACGCAACGAGGCCAGCCGACAGCGCGTGCTGTACACCGCCAACGTAGGTGATGCGCGTATTGTCCTCTGCCGCAATGGCCGAGCGCTGCGCCTCTCCTACGACCACAAGGGCAGCGACGAGAACGAGGGACGCCGTGTTGCTAGTGCCGGCGGCTTGATTCTCAACAACCGCGTTAACGGCGTCCTTGCTGTCACACGAGCACTGGGCGATGCCTATATGAAGGACTTGGTCACCGGACACCCGTACACCACCGAGACTGTGATTCAGGCCGAGCAGGACGAGTTTCTCATTCTCGCTTGCGATGGTGTAAGTAATGCAGTCACAAATTCATGACATTTGCTAACAGCTATAGCTCTGGGATGTCTGTTCCGACCAGGAAGCCGTCGACCTAGTCCGCCAAGTTCACGATCCGCAAGAAGCCTCCAAGAAGCTCGTCGACTACGCCCTCGCACGCTTTTCGACCGACAACCTCTCCTGTATGGTCGTTCGCTTCGACAACAAGGCTCTTCGGCAGCGCAAGAACGACGCCGCGATGGGTGTGGACGGTGACCAGTCGACCATGAAGGGCGGAATCACCGAGGCAGACGCCATCGTAGCACAAGCGAAGAAGTCAATTGGCGAGCCTGAGATACCGGTCGAAGCAGCGGCACAGGAAATTATTATGGAGGAGGCCGAGGCTGAGCCCGGTCCTGAGCTCAACTTGGACGCCGCAAAGGCAGCCAGGAAACACGACGCATAGTGTGGATGGGTCACGACTTGGCATATGGATACTATGAATGGGGGAATATCTTGGAAGGGCAGGCGGCGTGCAATGTTCATGGACAGATGGCGGCAGTGTATGATTTCTAGCGTACCTGAGGATCCTTTGGGACCAGGTTTCTTTCGGGTGCATTCCCTAAGGTTAGCCGTATCTCAGAACTGAGCGCTTCAATGTAATCAAAGCAAAGCAAGTAAAGACGAGCTTGTCACACGTACATGTTTGCTGTCTGTTGTATGCTACATCTGTTTGCCCCGCGTGTTTGCGCATTGACATTCCAGGTCCACGATGCGCTAATGACGATCGTGGGGCCTCTACCTGCACCGACTTTCACCGCATTCAAGAAATCCTGCGTCTACTAGCCCCCATTCCCGCTGCATCTACCCCCGAAGCTTGGATCACTGGAGTCACGCTCATGCGGCTCCGAGGAGCAACGCGATAATCATGTCGGGCGTCGACACGGCAGACTCTACGACCAACGCCCTCCCGAGCGATGCGCGACCCGCCTTTGTGACGCCGAGGGACCTGCTCCAACAGTCCCGCGCGCCTTTACCCCCGAAAGAGCAGCCGCGCCAACTTTCAGCTGTTGACCGCGAGCAACTGGATGGCCTGGTATGGAGCCTGGATCGCGGACAGTCGCTGCGGTAGCTGACAAGAGCTAGAGAACCATCAGAGCTTTCCTCAAGGCCAGGACGAGCTACGATGTCCTTCCTATAAGCTATCGCCTGATCGTCTTTGACACGGCGCTGCTCGTGAAGAAGAGTCTGAACATACTGAACCAGAATGGTGAGCTCGGACATTGTGTATAGAAGCACGAGCTGACGTTGTATGTAGGCATCGTCTCAGCGCCGCTATGGGATTCCAAGTCATCTACCTTTGCCGGACTCCTCACGACATCAGACTATATAAACGTCATACAGTACTACTGGCAGAACCCAGACGCTTTGGCGCGGGTCGATCAGTTCCGCTTGAACAGTCTGCGAGGTAAGCGCTCGGCTTCGCATACCGGACACAAGCTCACACAGACAGACATCGAGAGATCTCTGGGCGTCAAACCCATAGAGACCATATCCATCCACCCCGACCGACCCGTATACGAAGCATGCCGCAAGATGCTCGAATCGCGCGCGCGGCGTATCCCCATTGTCGACAGCGATGACGAGACACGTAGAACCATGGTCGTTAGCGTCATCACCCAATACCGCATATTGAAGTTCATCGCCGTGAACGTCAAGGAAACACAGAAGCTGCGGAAGCCGCTGAAGGAGCTCAATGTCGGTACATACGAAGATCTCGCGACTGCATCGATGGACACACCGGTCATGGACGTCATCCACATGCTTGTTAAGAAGAGCATATCAAGTGTGCCCATTCTGGACAGAGCCGGTAGGTGGTAGTGTTGGATTACGGCAAACTTGGCTAATATCCACAGGTACTGTGCTGAACGTCTTCGAAGCCGTCGACGTCATTGCACTTATCAAGGGCGGTGTATACGACGATCTGAACCTTACAGTCGGCGATGCGCTACTAAAGCGCTCAGATGTATGCTTTCTCCTTCCTCACCACCCATATACTTCTAACAAAACCCAGGACTTCCCTGGAATCTTCACCTGTTCTCTCAACGACAATATGTCCACCCTATACGACACAATCCGCAGGTCGCGCGTCCACCGCTTCGTCGTCATCGACGAAAACAGCAAGCTCAAGGGCATGGTGACGCTGAGCGACGTTCTCGAGCATACGCTACTGGAAGGCATGGAGGACGAGTAGAACGACGCTATCCTAGACCACTTGTCAGCGAGCCATGTTAAGAGTCTTAGACTGCATGAGCAGAGAATGAGGAGGTGTGATGATTGAGATGAGTGAATGTCCTGATGGGAGGACTGAGAGCATGTTTTGGGAATGATTCAAGATATCATATAAGGCGTCCTGGGAGGAAACAAGTTCGCGAATTCGAGTCATGAAGGAGGTCTAGCGAGTCAATATTAACATATTATAAATTCTTCTCGAGTCTCTAAAGTATCTTCGCGTCCAGCGCCCACTTTCTAATGGTATCTTGAATAGCATAAACGCCGGGTATTCCCAAAACAACATAAACTAACTCTCCCCAGCCAGACGCCTCGAATCAATCACAATACCTCGACTCTACACGCCCTCTTCCTCATTTTCTTCCCCATCCTCATCCCCATCCCCCACCCAACTAGTACTAGCCCCAACCAACTCCAAAATCTGCGCTCCCCTAACCACACTAACCTCCCCCCTGTCCACACTTTCCTTTACAAACGCCTCAAACTCCTCTTTCCCCATGACGTCCTGCCCCTCCTCCGGAAACAGCTGCGCAGACACCTTTTCCGCGATGTCGGCTGGGATGCGGCCTGCGGCGCTTTGCACGGCGAGACCGAGGACGAGGCGCGCGGTCCGGATTAGGTGCGTGTCTGTTTGGCTGGTGGTGGTTGAGGTGGAGAGGGCGCGGTGGAGGAGCAGGATTGTTGTGCGGGAGTCGGGGGAGGAGGGCGGACTGGTGGTGGTGGTGGTGGTGGGGAGGGAGGAGTGGGTGGAAAGGGGGAAGTCGTCGATAGATGAAAGGGGGTTCTCGATTTCGGTTGTTGGTGTAGATAGAGGTGATGGGGAATGGCGGATGATAGTCGTCGTAGGCGAGGGTTGAGGTGTGATATCCGAAAGCGGGTTTTCGCTTTCAGTCACCGGTGTGGATAGAGGCGATGGTGATGGGGAAGGCCGTGAGTGCGAACTTCGGATGAAGAGAGTGGGTGTCGGTGTATCCGCGAGTGGGTCTCCAATCTCAGTTACTGGAGTGGATAAAGGTGATGGTGATGGAGTAGTCTGAATAGCGGTGCCAGGTCTTGAAAGAGGTTGCCGGATGTGGATAGTAGTTGGCGAGGCTTGCAGCATTGCTACAGCGGTGGCGGGGATATTCTCGCCGATGACTGAGGTGCTGGGTGTGATTTCGGAGCTTCTTGGAGATATGTATCTCGTGAAGCCCGTGAAGCCGGATGGGACGCGGGCACGGGATGGTGTTGCTGGACTGGTTGGGCGGGACGGTCGGTAGTAGGGGATGGGAAGGGAGTAGTTTATTGGACTTGTTGACGGTGAGGGGCTCGCTGGGGTGTCTTGGGGGAGTGGCGTGGATTCGAAGAGGGATGGGGAGAAGGAGAAGCTGGAATGAGAGCTCGGTGTCGATGTAGATGCGGAGTCGCTGCCGGTGTCAAGAGGATGGGGTCGGGTGGTGGAGATGGGGATGAAAGCGATTGGCTATAGGAGAGTCATGTTAGTGATACGCCGGGGAAAAGAGAGGAGGGTATGTGAGACTTACATCAATCTGCGGTGCTTCATCCGAGATATCCAACGGTGAGGGTGTTCGCTCCACCCAGTCTTCTTCCTGAACTGACATATGCTTATCACTACATTCTTCACATCCAAAATCCCTGCAATGGAAACCCGATGTTAGCAATCCGCCATCAATGTACGGGAGTATAGCTTCGGGTAAATCGCACCTCTTGCACCGTCCATGGTGGAACTTGTGACTGCAGCTCGTCCTCATCGAGGTCCTCGGGGTAGAGGCAGAAGACGAGGACTTGAGATCTAGGTGGAGAAGGTCGAGTAGGAATGTCTTGATGCGGCAATAACGACCGTGTGCTATGCAGTCTTGTAGTTCTAGGGGCGTCAGGGTGCAGTGAGATGCTGTCGCGTATGCCGGATGTGAAGCCTTGATTGGTGAAGGAGGGAGAGACGGTGAGTATAGGTCTAGGAAAGATTGCGAAGGCGATGTAGGGGTTGGCGGCTCCGAAGGTATCGAGCATAGTGTGTGTGCGCTTGCGACTGTGAAGACGCTGCTTCGATCCCGTCTATGTCGAGCATGTTTGCGGCGTGCGTCTTCTTTTGGCTCGAAGCCGTTGCCGAATCTGAAGTCGTATCGTAACTCGCCCTTCCTATGGTGTGGCCGGTATTTGGATTCTGGTGTAGTTGAGCCAGAAATTGTGCGACGGGGCCTCGTGGGTGTTGTGTTGATATGGTAGTTGTGATTCATAAAACTGTCTGAGCGTCGGAGTCGTTGTATGTCAACGTCAGACATACTCCGGATCTTAGGCTGCCGGCGATGGTAGTTAGTCTCTGAGGTAGGCAGGGGAATGAGGTGAGGATATGTTGACAGCTGGTGGGTTGTGGCCTCCATGACTGCGGGGGTAGAGGGTTCTGAGGTGGAAAGTAGCGTTAAGCTGGGAGTGTAGAGTGTAAGTACCTTTGTTCGCCCGAGATCGCAATTCTGGACTGAACTGATAGATGAATGAAGGCTCAGATGCCTTGTTTTGGTCCGGTTGCACATCTGCTGACCCAAAATCACGGTAGAAAGGGTCCGAAAGAGGTCGAGACATTCACTGCCTTCATCCTGCTCCAAAGAGCACACATTGTTACCCTCACTAGCGTGTGAAAGATGTCCGCGTCCTAAGAAAATCATTTCAAAGTCGCTACCGTCGATTGTCGTTGTGAGCATGATGTCAAAGCAATAGCGTCTTTGTTGAGATACATCGCCTAGCCCATGGCGGCGGGACAATGACTTTATGAAGCGTACGTCGTTATTAAACTCGGTTCTGTCTTACTACGGGAGCAGAATCTAAGGTTCGCGTCATTTTGCTGAAACCTGTCATCCTAAGAAGATTGATTGCGATCGTAACTTAGTTTGGGAGTAAGCTGAAGAGGCCGTGTTACAACACATTGCGCAGAGCCTTGAGTAAAGTTTACCGTTTGTTTCACCTCGTTCTGGAAGGCGGATGGAATCGGCGGCAAAGTTTGAACGTCGATGAAGCGATCGATTGCACCATTATGTGACAATAACCGTTGCTGTCACTGTCAAACTCAAGTGCTCGTTACTTCCTTGATGACCGGTTGGGTGGCTGGGTGGTTGAAACCCGACTGCCGCCTGCCGCCGGCAAACTGCCCGCCTCACTTCTCGAACACCCAACCACCGCTCCTCAAGCTTCACACGCTCAACCCTTATGTATATCTTGTATGTATACGCGTACAGTTCCCATCTTCTCTCATAGGCGAGATAAAAATGGAGATGGAGGGCGCGTTCTTTAGTGAGTGATGCCGCCCTTCGATGTGCGCGCGCCCTTCGCCTAGCAACTTCAACTCCTCACAGCCAACAATACCGACGGTGAATTTGCGCGAGCGGGATTGCTACGGTCAGTATCTAAAGTTCTTCGGCAAATTCTTGCTTCGAAACACACTACAATTCGTCGGCTTGTACTGCTCATCGATTAAACTTTACCGGTCGACACGTCGACAGCGCACGACAGCCACTAGACGTACGCTTGGACGTCTTTTCACCACCTGTCCGCCCTCCTCATCGCGACGCTTCGAAACACCAACACCGCCTCATCAAAATGAACGAACAAAACGAATCCCTTCTCTTCCGTCTCCCGCGGGAGTTGCGCGATGAGATCTACCACTACTATGTCCTTGAGGAAGACGGCTACCACCATGATGCCACGTCTGACAAGCTTCGACAGGCTAGCGGACGTCCGATCAATTTAAGTTTGCAGTACACTTGCAAGAAGACTGCGACCGAGATGGAGGGTCTGGCTCTGCAGGTGAACAGGGTTACATTCCGTACAAAGCTCGAAGTACCCGAACCTGACAGCGAATGCTCGAACGCGCTTTTATGGAATCATCTTCTCTGTGAACGAGAACGACCTCTCCGACGTATGTTCGAGTGGTCCTATACTCTGGTTACGCTCGAAGCTATACAACGCCTACGAGAGCTGCATCCGGATAGTACCGCGGCGGAGCAGATCGAGAAAGCGTTCATCAGGATGGGCGACAGGATTCACTGGCTCAGCCCCGGGACACTGTTTAATGAAGGCGTAGTTTGGAGTATAGACTATACAGCGCACACAACTCTACTACAAGACTTGTTGCAAATCCTATCCACCCACCCAGAGTTCTGGCGGTTGACTTCCAAAGAGTATACCAGAGAGTCTGAAGACAACGACAGTAGGCATGCTTCGGCTAGTCAAATTGAGCTGTTCTCTGACTTTGCACAGACGGTAGGATTGTACACGAAGATTTGGAGTACCCAAATCAGACGATTCAGGCGTTGATGCTTGCATGGCGCCCGGACCCATGGCGAATGCCGGATCGCGCTGAGTTTGACACGATCTTCGAATTTCTCCCACGGCCTCCTGCAATAGTAGAGGACTTTGACCGAGGGTGGTATCTGGATGACACGTACTATTCGGCTACCGCGGTGACTATTCAATTCTTAGAGCGCTTGCCACCAGCCACTCGGACGCATCTACGCAATATTACCATCCAGGAAAACGAAATAAGCGAGGCACATAGGCAAACTCACGCTAGAGGCCTTATTCCTTTCTGCTGCGAAAACCTCAAGCTTCGGATTGAGAGGAGAGTAGACGTATTTCACCAGCACTTCTTGTCCGAGCGCATGGGTTTAGAAGACGGAATCGAGGGAATTGCGCCCTGGTTCGTTGAAACCAAGTTCCTCAAGAGGCTCGGGATGCCGCCCGAATCCTTTCGCTTGGTTCTTCACGGGCCCACACCTCGAGCGAGCCAACGGCTGAGCGACCTTCTCATCAAGCTTGCCATTTGGGACGAGGGCTGCACTGTACTCGAGCATAGATTAGGTCCCAGCTCCGATTATGTCGTCTACCCGATGCGTAGAGGCTTTGCGGATGGTGTTAAGAAGATGGTTACAGGTGAGCTTCCTGCAAGAATTGAGGCCGATATGGGACATGTGTGGGATATCAACCAGCTCCTGGACGACCATGTTGGCGAATGGCCTGCACTCAGCGAAGACGTATATGTGAAGACTGCGACTAGGCATGCTGGACACGAATTGTCACTTGAAGAGGAGGACTAGACAGAACGAATGGAAGGCTGCAGTCTTTTCAATACAAATCCCGTTACGACTCAAAGAATTCGGCATTCGTCAAACCGCTCTTGGGGTTCGAGGTACCATGGTACACCTCCGCCGTTGCGCCCTCGGTCGCGCCCTTGACAGCGCCCTTGACGAGTCTGACTAGTGCCGAATTTCGCGTTTCCCCATGTAAAAGGTCTTGGGTTCCCGGACCATCGCATTCTGATACCCATCCAAAGCCTTTGCGACGCCGCTTCTGTGTCTTCTCTTTAAAGTCACATCACAATCGCTTAATCCAGTGAAGGCCTCTCAGCCATGGCAATGGACCCGACACCACAGAACGCGTTGGATCAGCACCAGTCTCTCCTCTTCCGTCTTCCACGAGAGCTGCGAGATGAAATCTACTACTACTATTCCCAAGCGAACGGCTACTACTACGACTCCACTTCTGGGACACTTCGAATGGACGGCGGCGAGTGCATTGATCTCAGCCTTCAATATACCTGCAAAAGGACAGCGGCGGAGATGCAGGGTATTGCCTTGGGGATCAACACAATGACCTTCCGTACTATGCTCGATCTCCCCAGGCCTTCCGACCAACTCATGAAATCCCAAATCTTCGGTTATTACATCGATGAAGGAAGGGGTGCCATACTTAGTCGCATGCTCGAATGGACATACCCTCTAGTCACAGCCGAGACCATGCGTAAGTTGTGCGAACGCCATCCAGCGAACCTGGCAGTCAAGAAGATGAGGGAATTGCATCGAGAGGGAGACAGTGATGGACCCCTAGCGCGTGGACACCTATGGGGTGAGCTTGAAGATGTCGATACAGTCGATTATAACGAGTTCTCAGCGCAAACATTCGAAATCATCCGAGACTTGCTGGATATCATATCCACGGAGCCTGAATTCTGGCACATGACTGCAAGCGACTTCGATGTTAACGCGAGGAGGGCCTTTTTCGTGGCAACTAATCACTGGGCCACCCGTTGGGAGGCATTCGAGGATTATCTTATGAAGCATGTTCCCGTATACACTTCCAAGGCAGAACAGCAGCGAGTACTACAGTGGCGACCTGACAGCTGGTCTATCCCCACAAATGATGACCTTGAGGCAGTGGCAGAGTTCCTACCTCACGACGATGATTCTGATCCTTTTGATATGGTACACATACGGGGAGGAAGGCGATCATACTTCTCTGCAGCCGCCGTCGCAATTCAATTCCTCTCACGCCTCAGCGAATCCGCACGTAGCCATCTCCGCCAGGTCACTATACTGGAAGACGAGCAAAGCGACCCCGAATCCTCCAGTCATGCAAGAGGTCTACTTCCGTTTTGTATCTCCAACACTCAATTGAAGATTGAGAGAAGAGTAGACATATGGCGTACCTCACTCATACGTACTTCGAGAGCGACCCATGATGCAGGGACCCAACTTATAATGAAGGAGATTGGGATGTGGATTAGTGAGACAAAAGCACTGTTTGTCTTGGGGACGCTGCCTGGCTCTTACAATCTGGTCTTACACGGCCCATCACCTCTTGCGAGCCAACAAATCTGCGATGCCACTGTCAGGGTAGCAATCTGGGAGGAAGGGTGTACATCGATCGCAAAAGTCGACACTTTCCAAGGGCACTACTTTGTTCACTTTCTTGGTGAAGGCTTCGTGGAGGCGATCAAGGGGGTTGTCGAAGGGAGCATTCCAGCTCGATTCGACGCAGACATGGGAAAGATATGGGATATCGACCAGCTGATGAAAGAAAAGGATGGCGATTGGCCTTCGGACCTGGAGGATGTTTTCGAAATTCGCAACCTGGAACAGCCACCGGAAGGCTGGTGCGCTGCACATGAAGAGCGATTTGGGGTATGGGAGCACAGAGACTATATTGAAGTGGACTGGACAGAATACATGGAGGGGGTTGATATGCTTTTTAAACAGAATGAGGTCAACGAATCCGACTAGGTAGAGAGGATGAATGGGCGGAATACACCAACATTGTCGGTGATAGCCTAACAAACTCATGGAAGGGGAAGTTGAGTGATCAGGAAGCTGTTTGGGCTGATGAATTCAGGACATCTCATCTTCGTTGTCCAATCATTTCACTCCACAATACTGTGTATCATCCATCTGAACTATGTTGTCTTCTTCTTCCAGATCTTCCTTGTGCAATTAAATCAGCCACCGAGGTACTGTTGACTCTTAGACTTACATGTATTGATATTCGCTGTACCACTTCTGTGTTCTAGATAATTATGGTACGCCATCGCCCTTGCGCCCTTGGCAGCGCCCTTTCGCTACCATGGGAGACACACTCTCAGCTCAACATCAAAAGCTTCGCGCGACGCATTTCTCCAACATACACAAACTTTCTTGCGCCAAGATGCAGTCGAAAAAGCCCATGATCATGGACCAGCATCAGTCGGTATTCTTTCATCTTCCTCGAGAATTACGCGACGAGGTGTATTATTACTACGTCTGGGAAGAGCAAGGATACAGCCATCGCACGACTTCGGAGACTCTTCGGGCGACTAACGGGGACGCGGTTAGGATCAGTCTACAGTATACGTGCAAAAGAGTCGCGAAAGAGATGGATGGAGTGGCATTCAAAACGAACGACATCACTTTCCGCACTATGCTCAGTCCGCCAGATATCACAGACCAGCCCACTAACGCATTCCTGTACGAGCATTTTCTCGAAGATCGTTGGTCACGATTGAGGTACATGGTACAATGGGCTAATAGCCTCATATCTGTGGAGGTCATGCAAGAGCTACGGAAACGATATCCAAGGAGCCTTGCGGTACAAGGGATGATGGAAGAGGTTTCAAGAACCAAGAGGACCGACTTTCGATATGGATATCTACCCACAGTGGAGGTCCTGGACGCTTACAATGACGAGTCGGTACTTCAAGATCTAGTAGAGATCCTGGCGACAAATCCGGAATTCAGTTATTTGACTTCGCGAGAGTACGACGAAGGGTTAAGGGAGGCAACGGGTCCCGACGAAGACGACGAAGACTTGCCTTCTGAGGATGAGGATTACTTTTCCGACACCTCCTCCGATGCTAACGATGAGGAGTTGCCCTGCTACTCAAAGGAAACGCAGATGGCTGTCTTGCAGTGGAACCCAAAAACGTGGTCGATTCCAGACCGCACCGAGCTCAAAAGAGTCTTGAAGTTCCTACCTCCATGGCCCACAGCGCCTCCGAAGCCGCCTGTTGACGACGCTTGGACACCATACATGTATTTCTCAGCGGCCGCAGTAGCTGCTCGCTTTCTTGAAGGGCTTTCTCCGAACATATCCCGGAACCTGCGCAAGATTGTTCTCCAGGAAGACCGTGTGAGTGTGTCTCGTCCAAAGACCCATGCACAGGCTTTCATACCGATGTGCATTGAGAATCCTGCTCTCCGTGTAGAACGCAGGGTTGACGTCTGGTATGCCGAGTTCGCGCATCAGAGCGAATATTTCCACGATGATACAAGCGGAATAATTTTGTCGATTGCCATGTGGATCAACGAGGTCAAGACATTGTACCAATTGGGTATGCCCGTCGGGTGCTTCAGTCTAGTCTTGCACGGACCTTCCAAAAGAGCAAGCCAGCAGCTTTGCGACGCTGTTGTAAGAGCAGCGATATGGCAAGATGGCGCTTTCGAGATAGCCCGGCGAGAGCAGCGGCTCTACGACTGGCAGAACGACGACGGTATAGCCGAAGACTTCGTCGACCTTATCAAGGAGATGCTGCGAGGGGAGATATCGGCGAGGTTCGATGGTGCGGACATGGGCGAGATATGGGATATTGAAAAGACCCTACGCGAACACGATGGTGACTGGCCTCGTCACGTCGGGTGTGTGGTTCGTCTCCAGGATTTCGACGAGCCGGATGGTGGTTGGGAAGCGGCGCGCGAGGTGTATGAAGAGAACGTCGAATGGATGGATAGAATAAACGGGTGGAGACAATTGGCCAGAGAAGCGTAGTAGTAGCAAGCGAATTATATCGGCGCGCAGACCATGCTGTTGTAATTACTACATGCCATTATGTAGACCGAGTAATGCAGTAATGTTGTAACTTTTGCTACGCCTTTTACTGATAACTCTGGCAATCTGGCGATAACCCGCCGGTTACAAGTTCGGCTATTAGACCCTACGAGCCAATGATCTGCTACATGAGTCGTACTGTGCATGCTCAACGAAATCATGCTACGCCGCCACCTTACATCCTCCGCGGCGCCCTTGATCAGTCTGACGCGTACCAACTTGCGTGTTTCCTCACACAAAAACCCCCACCCTGCCCGAATGATCGTGCTTCAACATGATTCGGAAGCCTTTGCGATACCATTCGCTTGCCTTCATGCTCTCAATGCAGACTTCCAACATCGCAGACCCTCTTCGTCATGACGACGGGCCCAGCATGAACAATCAACATCAGTCTCTTCTCTTCCGGCTGCCACGAGAGCTGCGGGATAGAATCTATGAGTACTACACACATCAAGAGCAAGGGTATATCTACGATCCATCAGCCCAGAAGTTTCGGCTCGCCAACGGAGAAAAGATCGATGTCACGTTGGTCTACACCTGCAAAAGGGCGGCACAAGAGATAGACGGTTTGGCGTTTGAATCGAACACGATCCGATTCAGCGTCCTTCCAAAGATTCCTGGCACTGAGACTTCAAGCTCTGTAGCCTTTCTTTACCGCAGTCTCCTAGAAGGGCACAACATGTGTCTCCGGATCATGTTGTCATATACATATCCCCTTGTCACACGAGAAGCCTTGAGAGAGCTGCGATTGAGATATCCAGGTAACACGGCAGTGGAAGAGATTGAGGAAACGATTATCAGGGAGGGTAGAGCGGGCTTGAAGGAAGGCCGCCTTTACCCTGTGTTTAGATTGGATTATCTCATCAAAGATGCTATACTTCAGGATCTCATTCAGATCATTGCGAGGCATCCAGCGTTTGAGCGCCTCGTTTTGGGAGAGTACGATCCATCCGTCAAGACGAGTGCTCCATTGGACTATGACCCGGTTACGGATGACGAGGACGAATCCGAGGACGAGGATAATGACAACGACAACGACCAGGCTGGAAGTCGCTCTCGGCCATCGGTATACACGAGAGACACCCTATACCAGATTATCGAGTGGAGGCCCACGTATTGGTGGATTCCGGAGAAAAAGGACCTTGATAAGGTCGCGAAATATGTTCCACAAGCACCAGAACTCGGGACTCGCCATAATGGTCGCGTCAAGAGATTCAAAAGATACTTCTCGGCAGCGGCAGCTGCCATTCAATTCCTTGAGCGCCTTACACCCAAAAAGCGCGCCCAAGTGCGCAAAATTGTTATTCAGGAAGATTACGCGAGCTTAGGAATCTCCCAGAACCACACGAGCCACACGAGCTTAGGACTCTCCCAGACCCACGCACGCGGGCTTGTTCCATATTTGCTCGAGAATCCTAGACTTCGGATAGAGCGACGCGTCGACATCTGGGGGACTGTGCTTATCCCTAATCGCGAACGTTCCTACGGTGTCGAGCGCTGTCTCTGGGATGTTGCAACGTGGATACACGAAGCAAGTATGCCATGGATTATGGACCTGCCAACGGGTTCTTTCTCCTTGGTCTTACATGGCCCTGACGAGAGAGCCAGTAAGCTTCTCTGCAATGCCATGCTACAGGCTGCAATGTGGCAGGACGGCGCGAAAGAACTGACACGCCGGGGGAACATGCAGGGGATGACTCCTATAGCTGATGACTTCGTCGACGTTATAAAGGCGGTGGTGCGCGGCGATGTTCCGGTGCGTTTCGAGGCAGGCGTGCCCGAGCTATGGGATATAGACGAGATCTTGCGCGAGCAGTCCGACCAGTGGCCATACGCAGTTGATAGATTGAGATGCGTTACTGTTTTTCATTTCGGTGTGCCGCCTGATGGAGGCTGGGACTCGGTTCGCTCAGAGCAGATGGAGGAGATTGAGTGGACGGATGGAATGGTCGTTCGGGGTCTATTTGAAACGGAAGATTAGCAGGACAGAACTACAATGGGGGCAAGATTGTGATGTCGGCTGGCAGTTCGTCTATTCATGCTGAAATGTGTGTCTTCAATGTAAAAACGTCGAAACTCTTGCGTAGAGAGTTGTGTGGGAAGAGCGTTAGCCACAATCGCGGCACACACGAAAACGCGCCAAGACCTATGTTTGGCATGTTTGCGGTCAGCTATGACGTCAACCCAGCCGCGTCACTTTCAACCCGCGCGGCCGAGATTTGTGCTTCCAGCATGGGCAGCAAGCTGATCACAATTACGAAGCCCAAGATCTAGGGTGGTACGCCTTGGTCTAAATCCAGATACCCGCAGATGCCCGCCATTGAAAACGCCTGGACGCTGCTCCGGGCCGCGGCAGTGCATGAGATTGATTGGTATGTTGGCGGCGTTGTCGAGCTTGATTGAGGCTAAATCAGGGTATACGCTTGAATTGAGCCCCACATCGTCACTCGCTGTAGATTGTCCCGTTGGTGTTGATGTTGGCTGTGGCTTAAATTTGGGTAGAACAGGGACAAACGCAGGCACGGCAGGAACCTACGTCACTGCCCGCGTGCCTGCCTTCATAACGCGCCAACACGGACTCTTTGACTCCGCGCATACTCACGATACCCAGTTTCCCCCACTTCATCCTCTCTACTCTTGCAATTGACCCTCACATAACACAGTCAGAATGGAGACTATCACCAACCTCGCAAGCAATGCTGCTGGCGCAGCCTCCAAGCTCATCTACGGCGACCAGACCAAGGCGGACGAGGCAGTCGACCAGACCAAGAACAACGAAACTGCCGGCAAGGAGCCTATCTCCGGTGAGCAGGGTCAGGGCACCGTCACTCAGCCCTACGACCAGGGCAATCTTGGTGAGTCCCTTCCAACGCGCGCATTGGACGACATATGCTGACCCCGCTTCACAGCGACCCCTCTAGCAACTGCTGATAAGGGAACTTTTCTCGACTACTCGAACAACGAGACTGCGGGCAAGGAGCCAGTTTCTGGAGAGCTCGGTAAGGGGACTGTAATAGAGCCCTTTGACCAGGGCAACGATGGTAAGTATACGACAATGACGGCTATTAGAACAGAATCCTGATGTATCGCACAGCCAAGGCGACCGAGAAGGCAGCCGAGAAGACCTCTGGCACAGATGAGTTTCTGAAGCTCGACCCTACCACCAAGGGACCGACCGAGACCATGACCGAAACATCGACCGACCCAAAGATCTACTCGGATAGCAAGGACCCGTCCTACATTGGCATGCCAATCGTCCCCCTCAACCCCGACGCTGCTACGTCAAACACTGGCGCTACCTCCTCTACAACCCAGGCCACTGGCATCACGGACAAGGCTGGAGTAACGGATAAGCTTTGGAAGGACACCCCACTTGACGACATCAGTCGTTCAGGTGCGCCAGGTGCTGGTCCTACTGGTCCCAGCGATGTTACTCCTGCGGCTCCTAGTTCCACGGCAACCACAACTACCAGCCCTGATCCCGCCATCAAGACCACTGCTCCCGACTCTGTAACCGGTGCTTCAAGCACATACGCGGGTGGCGCTGATACCGACACTAAGACTGATGCCGAGAAGGCCTCTGCGAACCGCGACACTCCAGAGTGGACATCAACAGGCGTTCCTTCTGACAGCAGCAACTTCGAAGCGGCTGCTGCCAAACAGAACGCTGCCTCTGGTTTGTGGACACGGGAACCCGGACAAAGTCGGGGTAGTACTGACGGTGCCGCAGGTATGACTGGAGAGCATTCAGGTCGCAAGTCCGAGTCTGCCGATTTGACTACATCCCCAAGCGGCGAGGAGAAGGGTGGAAAGATGTCGCACTTGAAGGAGAAGATGAAGAACAAGCTTCACATCGGCTCCAAGGACAAATAGGGGCAAGGCGGAGGAATGGATGATCTTAATGGATGATGGATGAGATATGATACCACGGCAATGATATGCCACCACGTACGAGGACAATACTCGTAGTGTACCCTTCGGATAGAAATCTACAGCGTTGAGCTCAAGTTTATCTTCCATTTCGTCCAATCATGTGCCTGGTTCGGCCTCGTGGCACTAACTAAAGTTAGCGTCGCGCCTGCCGTTCGCGATCTGACGTGCATGACAGCGTACAACAGCGATCTTATCACACGCCTCACTTCTAACATAATAGCATCACGTTGGCATTGCTTAGACAACGTATTGGCTTTTGAATCCGTCACAAGACCGATTTTGATGAGCCGCCTCCTCTTGCAGCCTGGACAAGATCGCAAGGTACGTGGACGGCTATCCGCGCTTAAAGGTACTGTGCCACCCAGTCTACCTTTTCTATAGTAGCCTTCTCGCCAACAAAAACACCTTTTCCAAACTTTCTCCCTATTCTCTCTCTAGTCCTATCGGTTTGCAGCCAGCATCATACACTCTGCAGCACGATCTTCGCATTGCCACTAGCGCGGCAACCACATTGTACTTTCATTCTCGGAACAACGTTGCGCTGGAACTGATTTGGCAGCCTTGCTTGTGAAGATAGCCTTGGCTACTCCAAATCGCGTCATTCTCGGTCCCGTTCATCTTTCCTCAATACAGTCGTATCACTTTTGATTGCACACCACCAATATGGGAAACATTGGCAACGAGAATGCAGTTCGTAGGGCTGACATCGCGATTGATAGAACGACGCCTGAGAGGCAAACGCGAATTTCAAAAGACCTGTCTACTTCGCCGCACAATCACGGCTACATGGATGAGGCGAACATGATACGGAGGGCGGCGGGCAAGATACCGCATGTTTGCGTTGTGGGCGCTGGTGTCGCCGGACTAAGATGTGCGGATTTGTTGCTGAAGCAAGGCGTTAAGGTGACAATAATGGAGGGCCGGAATCGGGTTGGTGGGAGGGTATGTCTAATCAGCTGTGTAAATTTTGACGCACACTAATTAGCTGCCAGCTATGCCAAAGCGAT